AAGTTATATCCATAGGTTATAGGCAGAAGTCAGTCTTAGGTTAGTGGGATTAAATGTGGTAATCTGATTTCGCATAGATAAATCGGCATTGACTGATTTCTTAATGAGGGTGTTTGTTTTTTAATGTGCTATTTATATTAAGGCAAGTTTTGGTAACCACTGCCACTCTGAACTTTGGCTTATTTTAATTTGTATAGTTAAAGGTATGTAAATTTAAATAGCAAAGTATAATCCGGACAAGTTATGTGAGATAATGTAACATGTTATAGTTATATGTCGTTTGGTGTAAATAAGCCGTTCGTTTTCATTTTGCCTAATTAGGCAGTTGTGTACTTGCTGAGATATCTGTAAAACCGGTTTTAACATTGATCTAATCTATTCTAAGAAAGTTAGTTAATGTTCAGGTCTTAAAAAGCTTGAAATTTCGGGAATAATGTGCATTTTCTGAACACTGTATATAAGATAGTACCTATAATTTCGTTCTAGCGATGTTCTAAATTACTTCATGATTAGCATGTTCGTCAGTGAGCTTTTTCTCTTTAAGCTTTAATAGTACTTTGTTGTGTAAATGCTTGTAATTTTATTTGACAGTAATTTATTTTTCCTTAGTAAGGTTGAGAACGTTAATTGTTTTGTTGCAATTTGTATAATGACAATTGACTTTATCAACTTATCTTTTAAGTGTTCAGTGGCTATGCTCAATACAGTCAGTCATTCAGCCCCCACTGATCAGCCAGTCAGTCAATTCAATCAAATCAATCATTGTGCTGTCAGTATTACAAATGCAATGACCAGGAATTTCGAGCAAATCATGCCAATTACCAAATCATTTGGTGTACCACCAATATTTTGACCACCAGTTAGCACAAAGCCGCCAGCCTATCTTATTAGCTGCCAAAACCAATATAGCAATCAACCATCTAGTTAACTCCGAATCAGCATTAGCTTAATACATTAACACTGGTAAGTATTCTTGTGGAAAAACAATGCTATGTTATTTAGTGTTGCTTTTTCATTTAAGTGTTTTCGCTATAAAGTCAGTTTGTTCGACTTTACAG